AATTTACCATATAGGGAAAGTTTCTCATCGCTCAAGTTTCAATGCGATAGAAACTTGGAATCATACAACTATTGCATGATGAATGAGAAGTTTCATATTTGGAAATTAAACCAATTCATTTATAAAGTGTCAAGTGAAGGACTAGGAGATCAAGTACACAAGGTTGTGTGTTGATCAAGTCCACCACAAAAGTGACAAATATATTCATCATGATTTACTAAAGGTTTAGTGGATATGATTATACTTATAAGATTAAGTGTAATTCCGAGTTGATTTGAAAGAGTTTAAATCAATAGCAGAACGAATAAGAAGAATCAAGTAGGCAGAAAGATAAAAGTTTCTCTATTCTAAGAAGAAGGGAGAGTACCTTCATTATGTTTGATGATAGGTCTTAATGATTAAGAACTATATCTCAATTGAACTTCTAAGTGAGTCTTAGTACAATTTGTATGGAGGAATCGAGAATTGTGGAAATGGTTAAATCAAGAAGTCAATCATACTTCGTTCCATTATCAAGTCTTAGAGTAATACTTCAAGATTGTGAATTGAGTGACAAGTTTTAAGAAGGTTTATAGCATTCATCAAATGTAGAATTTAGAAAAGGTTTCTCTTATTCTTGCACATTTGGAATTGGTAAGCTGTGATGTCTGGGATAAGACAAAGACCAACTAGGACCAATTTTGTAAAGTGTTTTATCTTGGTAAAGGCTACACTGACTCTTGAATATTTGTTTGTCAAGAAATGTTTATTGACAAGAGAATCTTATATGTCAAGGAGTCATTGGGAGTCTTAATGGTCTTGAAAAGTTTCAAGAACTAATCAAGATTAAACTTTATCAATCATCACTAGCACACGACTTGAGGTATACAACTTATCGTGTTGACACTATCTTACTTCCGTGTCGTTCCAATTGAGTTAATTATGCATGTAAGTTCTATGAGTTCTCATTTGAACGCATAAAAGGCAAGCACCTTGATCAATGAAAAGTACATTGATAAGAAAGGATGAGTTGCTTAACTACTTGGAAGACATGGTGGGTAGCCGTGTTACCATAAGGTAAGAGATCAAGATTGAGAAGGTTCGGTCCATATGAGTTTGAATTTGTCGCAAAACTTTGGTTTTGATAAATTTGTATGGATAGGAACACATACACCATTAAAATCTAAGTGTCATAAGATTCCCTCCTTCATGAAGATGATTGTGAGGAAATGCTTTCACTAAGAGATATTTTAAGAAGATAGTGATTGTGAAATTGTATGCTCAGATTCGATTATGGTTACGGTATCCCTTTCCATAATCCGAATTGTGAGATTTGGCAATTAGTCTGAATTGTTTAGACACACATATGAGCTATCTAAGGCAAAGGTGTATAAGTTTAAGAAGCTTAGATAAATTATTATCAAAGCATTAGGTATTAGAAATATAAACTTCAGAAATTCAATAAGTATTGTTTTCTGGAAGTTCCGTTTTTTTCTAAAACATGTCAAAGCTAGTGGGGGCATAAGTGTTATGCTTATATGATAATAATCATCATGATAGTGGGAGCATAAATGTTGTGCTTGTATGATTATTAAGGTAAGTATTGCAATTTAGCAATATTAATTATAGAAAACAAGAGTTATACTTTGCAAAGTCGTAAGGGTTGAATAGTTGTTTTGCTATAATTAAGGGAGAGAATATTATGCTTCATTTCTAATCTAAAGGCTTAGGTTGTGGAATGTTAATAAATTTAGTCAAGGATACATAGTGTTATGGCATTGTTCGAATTGTGAGAACGTGGCACATTAAATATTATGGTAGAAGATTGATAAAGTATCATATCTTTATGTAAGACATTATGCATCGTATCCCATACGCTTCGGGTATAGGATTGATTGCTAGTGCTATTATATTTGACCATTCTAAAATTTTCCAAATGTCTAGCGCATTTAGAGGGAAAAATGACTAGAATCGGTTTTGACTAAAATAATTAAACAACTATCAAAGGACGATCCAAAGCTCGCTAAGGATTGGTCGCTTGTGAGTAGTTGGAATTATGGTATTAGATTGACTATATTGACATTATTATGAGTAGATAATATTCTATTAAGAATAAGTTGCCGTATGGCAAAATATGGAAATGTTTCCATATTGGGAGTTGGATATTGAGAATCTATGTCTGGATTAGAAACTTTTATGCAAGAAGGATGTTTAAAGGAATGTACTTTGAATGAGAGACATCATATCTATAGAATTGCTTCTGATAGAGAATGGCCAAGTCTTGATGATTTTGAGCTATGATTACGAAAGGATCATTGCATAAAATGTTAGAATCTAGCATATTCTATAAGTGGCAAGAATTTGATATTCTTATACTTATGATAAGGATTGGGAGTTGTGAAATGGGTATGATTGGAAATGTGTTCATTTATTCTATTTCACAAAGTAAGGACCGTAGGTAAACATTGTGTGCATGCTAAGAGCATGGGACAATTGTTGTTATAATTCAAGTAAGAAGTTGATTACCCGAAACAACAAATAATGAGTAATCAATATGGTGATTAAATAAAAAAATTTATTTATACCCAGAGTTTGGGGCCATATGGGATTAGTATTATTGTGTTTCACTTTGCATGTTTTGACTTCCTAAATAATTAAATTGATTCAGAACAATCAAATTATTCGAACGGACCACAGTCGTTCATATGTTGGAAGTAGGTATGAATGAAGACTATCGTGAATTGGTGTGTGGATTGTCTAAAGTGTATTAGACATAAGCAAATGTTTGCTGCAACGTTCATGAGTGCTTATGAATATGATTTGAGCATTGGATTAAACCCACGCTCACTTGGATCACTTCATGGATTTTATCACGAGTGATTGGTGAGACGACAATATCTTATATTCTTGAAACCGAGATGTGTGAGTTGTATCTTGCGAGTCGGTTACATATTGATAATATGTAAATGCACCAGTAACTTGGTGTTATAAAACATATTACTGTGTGTGATTCGGTGAGTGAGTGCAAGCAAGCATTGAATCAAAGTTTATCCGTTCCTTTTATCCAAAGTAGGATGAAAGCGATATCTTTGGGCCCCTCGATGATTTAGTGATGGCACCCTAAGCGCTTGGCCAAGCCGGGACTAATTTGATGCGTTCAAATGTAGTCTATTGTCAGTCGTCATAAATCGGAAATTGGGAAACAGTATAGAGAGAATGATTGAAATCCATGTCTCGCATCTATACGATATTTAGAATGGAAGAATATATGATCCCTTATCTAAAGGACGCATATCTGATGAGATCAGAGTTGTCAACAGCTTTTGAAAGCTACGATTGCAGATCAGGATCTGAAGTCATAGGCAAAATAGTTATTAGACTTATCCAAGTGGGAGACTATTGGATTAGTGTCTAAGTCCATAACTATTTTGATATGTACTTGACCCGATAATGCATGGCCCTTTTGGGTTGCCTTCACCAAAACAACTTGATAGGATGAATTATGGAGATAGAAGATTAATTATGATTTATTAATATATTATGAGAATAATATATTAAAGGAGAAATCATATTGTTTAATTAATATTAGTCAAGAATTAATTGATAATTAATTTTGTGGCTAAAAGAGATTAATTAAACTTAAGGGACTGGAACTGTAATTATAAGATAATTGCATTTAGGCTATGGATCACCTTGGAATAATAGGTTGGACGAATTCTATGGGGAAACCCATTAGAAATCGTCCAAGGGTTATTCTAAAAGGGTTCATGGGCTGCTTTGGGCTTAAGCAGTCAAATTAGGGTTTCCTAGTTGAAAACCCTAATAGCCTACATGTATATATAGTACCCTTAAGCCCCAAAATGAGAGAAGGGTTCCACTAGGGTTCCTACACGTTTTGGGTAGCCTCCCCTCTCTTTGTTCTTCATCCTCTTGCTCTTGGTGTTTGTGAACCAATAGAGGAGAGACACTTGTAACTCTAAGCTTTCTAAAGCCATTACAAGGAGGATTTGAGATTGTTATTGCTACATAACAATCAAGGTAAGATCTAAACCCCATTCTTATGTTAATATGATTAATAGTATGCTAGATCTAGGGTTTAAAGTCTTGGATGAATTGCATGTACAATCGAGAAACCTAGATCCAAGCATTAGGGTTTGTATGAGCACATAGGATGTTCTTATGGCTAAAACCCATCAATATAATCAAAGGCAAGAAAAAAATGCTACAAACAAAGCTTAATAACCAAGAAACAAAGGCCACAAAATCAAGGGTGGATTTACATTGTGTTTCGGATGGTACTAACAACCCCTCAAAATTTACCGTTAAGTGCAAAAATTAATGTAAATTCGTTAAAATCCGTCACAAATCCATTGGAAATTCATCAAATTAATTCCTAATAAATGTAATTTCAAAGTAAATATGTTTGTGTAACCTTTTTACTGATGATTTTGTGACAAAAATTACGATCAAAAATGAGTTTTTATAGTAGTGCATCCTTAAAAGAATCATGCACCCCCCATATTTTTTTGCGTTCAAACAAAATGCAATCAAACTTACGAACTAAGAATCAAAGACAAGAACACATGAGGATTATTGATGGTAAGAAACTATTGGGGGTTAGCATGAGAGACTAAACATGTTAATTTAGTTTGAAATAGGTACCAAATGTTCAATAAAGTAGATAGTTGGACAAAAGATGTCATGAACACCTAACATCAGGGACCAAACATGAAATTTAGTCGGTAACCAATAAATAGCTTGAACGGATGATGGATCATAACTGTGCATGCCCCGTCTACTTCAATTTTGCAGAGAAACCCTTAGCGTGCTGTTCACGCCCAAATCATAATCTTCGCAACAATGCATAACAAGATTGATGATTTGGTTCCCCTACTAATTAAAACCTATAAATATCTTGAGACGGATCAAATCTGTGTCTCTCACTATCTGTTCAATTCTGCGCAACAATCCCTTAGCGTGTGATTGACGCCCAGTTTTCGAATCCCCACAATCCAATCCATATGAAGAAGGGAACTAAGAGAAAGGCTGCTCAAGCGACCCGTAAGGATGAAAAAGCTTCTACTTCAACAGAACCTGTCACTGTTAGAAATATGGTTTAGTGGCACTTGGAAATCTGAGAATCGTGATAATCACTTTCAAATCGAAGTATTTGGGTGGTACTCCCAAATCCTCAATTGGATAAGACTCAGATAAAATCAAAGAGAAAGAAAGAGAGAATGAGATGGTGTAATTTTTGTGAGTACTAGAAAACTGACTAAAATTGGTTATATACATTCATTGTCTGAAAAACTGTCAAAACTGTCATATAACAGTTTTCTCAACAGTCAAAACTGTTATAAATCCGGGTTTGGTATAAGGATTAATGCAAAGTCAAAACCGGGTCAAATATTCAAAATTTGGATTTTCTGATGCATTTTTAATACAGCTCGATCCCAGCCAGGGGCTCTGCCCCTTGGACCCCGCCAGGGGCTGCCGCCCCTTGGACCCCGGACCCCCGTTCGTTCAGGGGTTTCGACCTTAAATGACAGTGTACTTTGATACTTGATCAAACTTAAACAAGTCTGTACTCCACACCTTCCTTACTTGTTTAATATTTATCAAGATCATTTTTAGTCAACAAAGTAATCCCATTACACTTAAATAACATTGATGATAACAAATCACCAACAGTCACCACCATTGAAGAACAACACCAACAACAGAATAAGGAACACGACAAAATTGGTCGACCAACAAAACGCTCAAAGGTTTCGAAGCCTCTTGAACCGGAGCCTGAGTTCTTCGACGAACAACGTGAACTGGTAAAATAACTGTCTTTCTGATTGTGTTTTGATGGAAAGTATTGCACAGCAAACACTTCTTCTTCATGCATATCATATTTAAACAACAAAGTGCGAATGATTATTGAAAATATGTATGTATTTTGGTGTTATAACCTCAACTTTTGTGTCAAAACTCGATGTATGTATCTAATTTTATCTTCTATGTATTGTTACTTATTGTTTTTGCAGGAGGACTTATGGAAGCAGGTTTTCCCTGTTGGAACAGAGGTATGTATATTTATGTTAAATCTCATTAATTTCTTTACATTGTGATTGTGTTAAGATGATACTCATTTGATTTTACATTTTCTTGACAGTGGGAGCTGCTTGACTTGCTTTCTGAATACAAGTGGAATTTCTCAAATCTTGAAGTGAGTTACATTGTTAATATGTTGTTATTCGCGTTTCCCAAAGTTTTATGCATTGAGAAAAATATAAATGGTTAGAAATATAACCAACCAAGCTTTAAATCGGTTTTCCAATTATACAACAGGATGCATTTGAAGAGGGTGGGGTATTACATGGGAAAAAAGTCTACCTCTTCAGTTGTACAGAGTGTAAGTAGTGAATGAAAACCAAAAATTTTTAAAACTTTTTTAAAGCTCATTGTTTCATACATAAAGCCTAGAACTTTGACTCAATATCATAAGTTCATAACCCTTTTTTTTTGGCTTTTGCAGCAGGTGGTAAATCAAGAGTAATCTTAATACCTACAGTGGTTGCTGTAAGTGGAACAATTTCTTTATTCTTGTAATAGTCATTGTTAAGAGCATTCTTTCTATTCCATTGTTGATTGTTATTAGTTTTATTTATTATATTTAGTTATTTACCTTTTTTAAACATTGAACAGGTTGTATCTCCATTTCCACCTTCTGATAAGATTGGAGTTAAATCTGTACAAAGAGAGAAAGAAGCAATTCTTGACATGAAACGAATGAAAATGGATTGGGTTCCATATATTCCATTAGGAAAATGGTAATTATCAATTCTTCAATTCCATTTTTGTTGGTGTTTACATTTCCATGAATCTCATTCTTACAGAGGCTCTTCAGTTGAAAGGCTTAAATCTCAAATCTTCATTCTAAGTTGTGTCCAAAGAAGGTATTCTTTGTTAAATCATAATTCTATTTTGCATGTTTCTTTTAAAAAAATAAAAAAATAAAAATAGTTCTTGAATTCTCACTATCTGATTTTGAATCAGGGCTGGTTTAAAACAACTGGATGAATATATCGTGTCAAGGATTTCGGATATTGCTTACCATGTAAGTACATAATATGTGGATTCATTGGAATTAATTAACAAAAGAATCATAATCTTTGTTGAATATAATACACTGTTATTTATTTAAAAGAGTTAAAACTTTTCATTGTGTTTACATATAATAATAATAAGTTGTTTTTGACTTTTGTTGTTACAGACTTTTATCATCCTTTTAAGGATGATGATACAGAACAAAGTACTATTGTGAACATCATATATTCCACAGATCAAAAGCCTGTAAGTTGATCTTTTTAGCATTTGTCATATGATTTTTTTTAGCATTTGTTTAATTAAATTTAACTTTATAAAGGTTGTCTGTGAGTTTGATTGGGAGCTGGATGAACTTGAGGTGAGATACATTTCTTTCTTTTTCTAATTTTTATATCTTTCTTGACTTTTTCATATATTTTTGTAAAATCAATGTTGTTTTGTAGAATCATGTGAATGCTAATTGTAAATAGGATTTATTTTTTTGCCATTAATGAGGTTGAGGTTTGAATCTACTATAATAAATGAAAATTTTTTGCCACATGTCCTCTTCTCCTTCATTTGGACACTTGGCATTTTCTAAAAATTTTAAATTTTTTATTTTCCACTTGTCATTTTATTGTATTTTTCATTTTATTAAATTAAAATTCCACATTTAATGTGTAATGTAATATATATATGTAAAGTATTTATTAGAAAGGGTTTATATATGTAATGTATTTAATACATTAAAATTTTAATAATTCAAAATTTTTTTTTCATTTTTCTTATAAATTCAAACTTTTCAAATTGTTAAAATTTCATATTTTTTTTAATTAAACCCATGTAATACATGGGTCACACACCTAGTGTTTGATAATAAACCACAATTTGTATAATCATTAAAACTCGTGTAATTTTTTTTGTAGGAATTCACTGATGACCTCATTAAAGCAGAGGAGATGTCTGAAGATCAGAAGGATGCCTTTAAGGTAAAAGTCAAACTTTGACCCTGTTTTGTTTTATTGGAATCCAAATGTAGGAAATATCAATCTGCTTTTATGGTGATTTGTTTATTATAGCATCTTATTACTTTCATTTCTTCCCATTACAACATTCTCAAATGTTTTTAATGGAAAAAAGAATAGTTTGTTCAGTTGTCTTTATTGGAAGTATTTACTAAATAAAATATTTATTTTTATAGGAATTTGTCAAGGAAAAGGTTCGAGAAGGAAAGAGAGCTAATCGTGAGGTAACTTTGTGAAATCAGTTGTTTATTATAGGGAAATCTCCAGAAAAGTCCTAAAATTTTAATCCAATTTATGAAAAAGTCCCAAAATAAATTTTATTTACAGAAAAGCATAGAATACCGGTTAAAACTTCGAAAAAACCCTTTTCGGCTGGTTTCGCAGATTTTGCCGGTATTCTGTCCTTTTTCGTTAGTTTGCTCAAAATATTGGGACTTTTCCAAAAATTACATAATAACCAAAATATTGGGACTTTTTTGAAAATTACCATGAAATTAATGGATATTATTATTAACAAATCTTTTATAAATTACATAATAACCAAAATATTGGTGGCCTAAGTACTCCTCTATTGTTTCCTGACCACTCAAACTCTCTACGTTCTTCCTATGCATTGTTGTGGGTATGATGGTGAGATGAAATTAGTTAGCATTCCTCTAATGTTGGTGTTCTTCTTATGTTGTTTAACCTAATTACCAACCAACATTCATACCTTACATGTTAACAATCATCGGCTAACACACATCTATAAAATGTGAAAAGTGAACCCTGAATGATAATTTATATGGAAACAAGTGAAGGGTGATTATCTATTTAAATTGTCATTCAAAGTTTACTTTTCACTCTCGATAGATGTGTGTAATTTTATGGTTGTTACCGGGTAATGTTTGGAGGTTAGGTGGTAGTTAGGTTAAAGAACATAATGAAAGATCTATATGTTCGTGTAATGATATTTTCTAATAACACGTGATCATATAGCATCATGCTTAATAGCAAGTAGACACTTATTGATTGTGTATTAATAAATATTATCAACTCTTGTATTGGTCACGCCTAATAGAGTACTTCTCACTATGACACCCACAACGATACATATGAACAACATAGAGACTTTGAAGTGGTCAACAAACAATTGAGAAGTACATAGTCGACCATTCTATTTCTAGAAATTAACAACAAATGTATTTCCTTTGTTTATAATAAAAAAAAGTATTTTTTATGTTTATAAATGATTTGTTAATAATAATATCCATTAATTTCATAGTAATTTTCAAAAAAGTCCCAATATTTTTGGTTATCGGGTAATTTTCAGAAAAGTCCTAATATTTTGAGCAAACTAACGAAAAAGGACAAAATACCGGCTAAATCTACGAAACCGGCCAAAAAGGGTTTTTTCGAAGTTTTAGCCGGTATTCTGTGCTTTTCTGTAAACAAAAATTAGTTTGAGACTTTTTCATAAATTGAACTAAAATTTTAGGACTTTTCTGGAGATTTCCCTTTATTATATATATTTATATTTAGTATATACTAACTAGTTTATAACCTCTAGAACCATGGTTACAAAATTAATTAAACTTTCATAGTAAAACTCAAAATTATTAATCAATTATTTTAAATAAATTATTAATTAAGAGATATTTTTATATTTATATAAAATTATAGTCGCTGATTCAAATAAATACATGAAATTATCACCTTATAATTTGTATTAATTTTATTTTATTTTTTATTCTAATGTTATTAATTTAATGTAATTAAAATGGGAAATTTAAAATTTGAAATGGAGAATCAATAGTTTGACAAAGTGGCATGACATTAATTAGGCCTAATAGGGTAACACATGGCAAAAAAAACTACTCTTTTATTATTATAGGAAGATAGGAAGATATACTTGAGCTTTTGTTGTAGTTGCTTTATTATTATTATTATTGATATTATTATTATTATTAATTTTTTATTAGGTAAGGGAAAAGAGGAAGAATATTCGAGAGTCAATGAGTGAAGAGCAAAAGGCTGCATTTCACAACATTCAGTTTTATAAATTCTACCCTCTTAACACACCCAACACCCAAGATTCCGAGTGTTTAAAGGTTTGATATTTTTTTTTCCTTCTTTTATACAAAAGAATATGCTTTTTGACCTTTGATGCAAAATGACCTATTTGCCCTTGATTTAGATGATCAACAGCATATGTTTATCATCACCGTTTAGTGATATTTGTTAACCATGTGTGTTTTTCTTGCACTTTCAGACTCCTTTCATAAATAGGTATTACGGAAAGGCACATCAAGTACTTTGACTGAATTACCCTCAAGGCTGATGAGAAAGATGCAAGCAGGTTTTCTTTGGAAGACATTAAGAGATTTTTGTAGCGCTATATATTAGTTTATAGTTTTAGGAACTTTGTCCTTGACTTGTTGACATTTATTAACTTATCTCATTTTGTTATCGATGAATGTTTTGTTATAATATATATATATATATATATATATATATATATATATATATGCGGTAGAAGAATCTCACTTCTCAGGATCCTCGGGGCTTCGGAATTTGCTTCGGGGCTCGGGAATGATACCGGGGCTTCGGGATATAATTGGCTAACAAAACGATGCAAAACTTAGAGAGAAAAAGAAGAAAAATGGCAAGGCAAATGGCTGATCTCGGTTTCTATTTATAGTCTGTTGGGTTTGGGATTACGCTGGGCGTACTCTTCGGATAAGCTTTGGTATGCGTGTCACAATCTTCAAAAATTCATAACTTTCGCATACGAACTTCGTTTTTAACGTTCTTTATATCCACGCGTAGGTGAGATTATGATCTACAACTTTCATTTAGACTCTGTTGGTTAATTTTGATTTTATTTTTATTATATTATTTTTAGTAGGCCGAGACAGGAAAACTCCGTTATAAATTCATATTTCTTCATCCGATGTCTGTTTTCGTCTGTCTTTTTACCGTTGGACTACTATCAACAAGATCTTTGATTCTCGTTTAGATTGTTTCGGTTAAAAACCACTCGATCTCAAATCGAGTATTTGGGCTGCATACCGCTAAGTCAAAACTTAGAAAAATCATAATTTGCTCATACGAAGTCAGATTCGGACGTTCTTTTTATGCACACTCATGGTTTAACGAACTCTACGACTTTTGTTTAGATCACTAAGGCTAAATATAAATCTAACGTAAATTCACTTTTTACGTCGTTCAGCGTCGTATCGGTTTTGTCGCGAAACTTCGATAGATCATAACTTCTTCGTTATAACTCGGATTTTAGCGTTCTTTATATGCACGGAAAACCTTGTGACATATACTACAACTTAGTTAAGGTTATTCATTCTAAATAATCTTCTATCAAAAAGTCATTTTTGACGCTTATCATCTCTAAATTGACTAACCCTAATCTACGGGCGTTACACAATGTCACAATAAGAGATACAGGAAGGTAACCTGCTTGAATTGCTTCTTTGATATTGAAGTTTATTTTTAAATGGTTTAAATGCAAGAAGGTTATAGTTACGCGGTTTAGTTTTATTTTTATTATTTTTGAGATAACTTTAATTTTTAATTTTCTTTTTGATATTAATGTATCGATTCACACACATTCCAAGAATACTATTTTAGTTCCAAGTGTTGATCACACGAGAAGTTTCTTTTTGGTACACGTAATATTCAAGGATGAGCAAGGATTAAATTTTGTGTATCAATAAACAAGAGAAAGAGGAGCCTGCATATTAATCAAGGTTGTAGAACTCGCTACTCGGTACCTGCTTGGCCGATTGGGGAGTAGCGAGTACTCGGATTCAGTAATTCATGTAGAAATATTTTTAGGAAAATTATATATGTCAAAATTATAAGTTAAATCATAATTTGATTGAAATATATAACAAAATTAGATACATATGAATACATAAAAGCTGAAATACACACAATTGTCTCACTTCGTGAATAATTACTGAAAATTTAAGATATGTATGTAGTAATAATCACATGTGTGTTAAATAATAAATCATTAAGTGTATTATACATATGAATCTTGAAATTCTTGATTTTTTTCTCTTTTTATGACATTTTTGACCCTTTTACCGAGTTTGACCGAGTTTGTCGAGTTTGACCGAGTAGGTCCGAGTAATACCGAGTTAGAGAGATGTTGACCGATTTTTAACCAAGTTTGACCGATTTTTTTATAGAGTTTGACTTAATCCGAGTTTTTTTGCCGAGTTCACATTAATCGCCTCGGTGGAGGGCCAATTCCGAGTAATCGGCCGAGTATGCTGAGTTTTGGAACACTGATATTAATGTAAATCAAATGTTTTTTTGCTTGAAGTTCTTTTCTGTTTCCATTTATGCAGAAAAAAACACAAAATTTGTTTCCATTTATAGTTGAATGGTAAAGATGTATAAATAGAGGAACTATAAGAGAAGATGCCACTAACTAGGCAAATGGCCCAAGAGTGGTGGTGAAGTTGTTTGTGAATTAGATAGGAAAACTAATGATTTTTATACTTTAAGTTAAAGATTAAGTAGGTAAATTTTGAAATAATTAATTATATAAAATTGAGTTAGTTAATTTTTATACAATGCCTACATAAAGAACATTGCTATTTTTTGCATTTTTTCGGTATAATTTTCATACATATTAGATTATTCTTCTTCTGCTCTCAGAGTGCTTGAACTTAAAGTTGGCCCTTAAAAACTTTGATGGGTTTGCAGGTTACCAATATATCCTGTATGCGACTCCAAATGTTGTCAAGATGCATCAAAGTAGAATGACAATGAAGTGTTGTTGTTATATATATTAATAAAGAAATGAAAAAAGGTTTTCTATGTTGTTGGCAAAAGTAAGGAAAGAAATGGTACATGTTTCTATTTTGCAGTCAAAAATAAGGTTTTCTATTTTTCCTGTTTATTTTTGTAACGACCCAATTTTCACGTCCGAAAAATTTCATTTTGAAAACATTACTTTAGAAAAACATTAACAATTTAAAACATTGTTTGATCAAACCCTAACACAACGTAAACCATGTCTAAAAGCCAAACCATACAACCCATCAAAATATCAGAGTACAAATCCCAGTGAATCTCGTAAATGCGGAAACCAGAGTGTGTGCATGATGTGCTGCTACCGCGCCATCTCCTTCCCCTTCGAAGAAGAGGTACCTGAAACCAAAACTGTAAAACGTAAGCACAAAGCTTAGTGAGTTTCCCCATCGTACCATATACCATACAAACACATAATATACATACTGTCAGGCTATTCTGGGGTGCCTGACTACCCGGTACGGCTATTTTGGGGTGCCGACCTACCCATACGGCCATTCTGGGGTGCCGTCCTACCCGTGTCAAGCCATTCTGGGGTGCTGACTACCCATGTCAAGCCATTCTGGGGTGCTGACTACCCATCGGTCCTAACAACCGATCCTCGGGGACTGGTCCCCTCCTACTACCTCTATCGCATAACATAACAGGCCAGCATGTAAACATATCATCACATACTGTCAGACATTTCTGGGGTGTCTGACTACCTTTCGGTCCTAACAACCGAACTCTACTACTATCACATATAACATATCATACTAGCATATAACATATCAGGTAGTAGCAAACCTAGATGATATCAAAAAGACAATCATCTATCATATGTCTCCTACTGGTGGGCCGACATTGTGGCCTTAGACCCACCGCTACTGGAAGGTAACTCACCTCAAAGTAGTTGCTGAACTGATCGGGAACTGACTGACTATTGTTGCTGCTGCTCCGGAAATCCTCCGGCTGCAATTCCCACAACATACTCAATCAAACACTGCTAACTGTCCTTTGGGTAAAATGACCATTTTACCCCAGGTCTAGCCCTAAGTCAAAGTCAGAGTCAACCTTCAGTTGACCCGACTCGCCGAGTTCCTATCCAGACGATTGTCCTGAGTCTCTGTTTCTACTCGTCGAGCTAGGCTATGACTCGACAAGTTCTTCTTCTAAACTGACATTCAAGTCCTTCATCCTACTCGCCGAGTTGTATGAACAACTCGTCGAGTTCATCTTCATCCGATGAACACTTATGCGGAGACTCGCCGAGTTGTATGAACAACTCGTCGAGTCTATTCTTGATCTAAGGAGATTGCCTTGAACTCGCCGAGTCAGGGAATCGACTTGCCGAGTTCCTCCATAGATGAGTTCAGCTTCCAACTCACTGAGTCACACCCCGTGACTCACTGCACACTCGACACTACGAAAAAGGGGACAAATCCGGAGACTCGCGAGCAGACTCGCCGAGTCACATGAACGACGCGCCGAGTTGTTGCCATGCACCTACAAAATACACAGATTTGCTCGATTCCAGTCCATTCCATTCACAGATCTGGGTTTCTAGGGCATGGAGTACACGTAAAGTTTCCAACTTTACGTGTAGATAATCACCAATGAAGGTTTTAGGGCTCAAAGTGCACCAAAAGGGGTAGATCTAGGGCTTTCATGCAATATGACCCCATAAAGGCATTAGATCCAAGCTCCAGGGACTAAATCATGCCTAGATCTAGAGGCTAACAACTTATTACAACCCACAATGCACAAACAAGCTTGGGGAATGGCTCAAGAAGGACTTTCATGAAGCTAAAAGAGACTACAAGCTTGAAAACAGAGGGGAAACGAGCTATACCTCAAGGAAAACGTTGAGATGACACAAAGATGCCTGGCCTCCTTCTCCTCTTCTTGATCTACTCTTCTTTCTCCTCAAAATCTTCAAGAACACACCAAAACACTTCAATCTCACAAGGAACAAGGGTATAAATGATGTTGGGGGCTCTGAGGGTGAATGGGGGCGAGGTTGGGGCGGAAATGAGGGTTTAAATAGGGTGCAAACCCTTGAAATTTAGGGTTTCATCCAACAACGGTGACTCGCCGAGTCCAAGATATGAACTCGCCGAGTCGCCAACTTAAACGTGTCCCGGGTCCTGTCCCTACTCGGCGAGTCGGATCCATGACTCGTCGAGTCCAAGGCTAAAAATGGAAAATACTCAACTAAGATTTACATACCAGGAACCAGGTGCTACAAATCTCCCCCACTTATTTTAGACTTCGTCCTCGAAGTCTGCTGCTCGATCCTGAAACAACTCGGGGTAATGCTCCATCATCTCGTCCATCGACTCCCAAGTCCATTCCGAACCCCTGCGGTGTTGCCATTGCACCTTCACTAGCTCCACCCTCTTGTTCCTCAAATCCTTCGACTTC